GCATTTGTCTGGCACTCTTACGTAACTCAAGCAGTTGGGATTGTTTAGACAGAACCTCTCCGAAGGGACTTGTTTCGAAACGTATTGATTATGACCCCATGTGGCGACGGATTTCTGAACCAATATTGCTTGAGCCAAAAGGCTACGGATCATGTCTCTGCAACTTGTTGTTCCTCGACTTTCGATCATACCGATTGGCCGCCTGGATTTTTTCGATGAGCCAGATGCCAGCGCGACCCTGCCAGATGACTGCGACCCCGGCCGCCTCGGACGCCTCGGCGGGGCGCAGATACTGGATGGGCATCCCGAGGCTGGAAGCCCTCCGGGAACCTACGAAGACGCCACAAAAAAACATCAAATCCAGACCTCCTCCGACATGACTTGTTCGATCCGCAGCCCGTAACTGATGGCCCTTCCCCAAGCCAAACTTTCGCCCTGGATCCGTAACTGATGGCCCCAGGGCCCGAAGACATGCCCGACTCGAGGAGAAACGCTTGGATTGACACAAAAGGTCATACAGTCATCGTGCTATCATACGCAGCACTGAATCAGGAACGACAGGGCCTTTCTGGCCACGGCGAGCCTCGGCCACGAACAAGCCCCCTCTCCCGGGGGTCTGAGGAACGGCCCGAAAACCAACGTCGCGTCTTGACTGCATCGTCGGAGGCCTGGGAACCAAAACGCCAGGAAGCCCTCGCAGCTCGTGCCTCTGCTGTGATGTCCTCTGTCCGCGGCCCCAGGCTCTCGAGCCGCGGTTGGAAGCCGGGGTCGGGAGCTCTGAACTCCCGACCCCGTCCCCAGGCCCCACGACAGGCCCGAAGCCATGGCAAAACGCCGGGATGGACACAAGCATGCGCCCATAGCCCTACCATGCGGAACGTGGAATCAGGAGCGAGGGGGGGAGCGTCTCTGGCCCCCCCCAAAGCCCACCCTACATCATCTTAGGAACGGCCCGGAAACCAAAGCCTGTCCTGAGCCCAAAGTAGCACTTGTTTCCGAGTCTTGACTGCGTTGATTAACCAAAACAAGGTCCCTGATCCTGTGGGAGTGGACCTAAGTTAGGAGGGCCACAAGCATTAAGGATAAAGGGGGTCTTTTCTGAAGATGTATCGAACCAAACCGCCCAGAGTTATTCTCCCTAATACAAGGACGGGGACCTACATGAGGCCACGCCTCCACTATGTTCTTATGGTTCGAGTTTTTTCCTCGGTGATGTATCGTTGGGGGTCTGGGACCTGGAACACCAGGACACCCTGGAGCCTCGCACCTCCGACATGATCTCTTCGATCCACGGCCCCAGGCTCCCGACCCCTTCTCCAGCAAGTCTCTTGCCCGTCTGGGATTGCCTCTGGGGCCCGGGGCCCCCGAGGCCGAGGCCAACGAAAAATGCCCTGACTGGCAAAATCAGACCGTCGGGCCCACATCATGCTTCCTTCGGTCGCGATCAGTAGCGTCGGCACTACTAGTCGGTCGCGGCCGATCGAGGCCGATTGCAAAATCGGTCGCGACTGATTTCAAAGCAAATCCGTCGCTACCAGATAACACTGGATACTGGCATCCAATGATCAGCGGACATCTGGGAGCCTCGAGTGAGGGGGAACAGAAGGGGGAAACATCGACCTGGAATCGGCGATACGTCGCCGATAGATCGGCGATGGGCCCCCGATAGCGACTCCGAACTTTCCTGGGCGGGGCGGGCTGTCGGGCCGCCCCTATCGGCGATGAAGGAGCGATTGGGGGTCGATGCATCTCCCCACTGAGCCCATCCCCCCTAGCATTGCCCCCCGATTGTCGCGCCACAACTCGGTTCTCTGGCGGCCGTCCGGGCCGAGCACCCCCCCCCCGAGTGCTCTCGGCGGGGCGCAGCCGCTGGAAGGCACCCCGAGGCCCGAAAACCGCCGAGAGTCCACGAAAACGCGCGAGAACCTCGGACCTCCAACCCCTGAGCCTGTATCCCCCCTACCCTAACGTTGCCTCCGATCGAACCTCGAGGCCGCCGTGCCCGAGCGTCCGGATTGTTAAACCGACCCTTCCTCCCCATCTCCGTGCCTATCCAGACCCCCACCATCCCAGCACCCCAATTGGGGATATACCCTTCGAAACCCGAAGGAGACGGCCTATGTCCTTCTAGGGGGGCAAATCGGCCAGTGGGGTCCGAAAAAATGCCGTCGGAGATAGCGCCACATCGCCGATGCATCGCCGATGCATCTGGGACACATCGGCGATGTCGGCGACGCATCAGCCACATCGGCGTGGAGAAATTGCCGATGCTTCGGCGATGCGGCGCGATCCTCCGACCCCATCTACGAGGACCTTATCTCGGAGGTCTAGAGATAGGGGGTCGGTGAAACGATGCTCAAAGCGCGCCTCGGCCGCGCGCAGGCGGTACAACCCCGGGCACTCCTCGAGCTGCGCCGCGCTGCGCCGCGCCGAGGCCGCGAGGCGCGCGCGCGCGGGCCCCGGACGCGCTGCGGCGCCCCGCGCCGCGCCCCTGAGCGGCCCGCTGGCGCGAGCGGCGCAGGCGCGGGCGAGGCGGACGAGCCAGAGATCCGAGGCTCCGAAAAGATGTGAGCGGCCGGTTTGTGGCCGTTTTCAGCCTCCGTGGGGCCCTCGCGGGCCGCGGGGCCCCGAGGCCGTCGAAAGACGACTCGGGAAGAAAAGCCGGCCCTCGGAGAGTGGTCCAGACCTCCCGGGCCCATGCACAGAAAAAATGTGAGCAACAGACGTCTGGGGAGGCGGGCCCTGTGTGGGTCCGAGGCTTTCCTTTCGGCGGCAACTCATGGGACTCTCCAGTACCATCTTGCTGGCTCCTGCGAATCACCGCAGGTCGACGCTACATCGACGCTAGCCGACGCTAATCGACTCGGCGCTATCTCATCGACTACCCAACGCTAATCGACGCTGATGTACTCTAAAAGCGGATTTACGAGGGTATACAAAGCTACAAGCATTTGCTACCGAATACGTCGGAGGCCGCCCTTCTGATCGGGGAGACGTAAGCCTTGGGTTCGGGGAACTCTGGTTGGCCCGAAGGGGCCGTCAGGAACACGACGAAGCCTAACCTGAAACTTGACGCGGGCTCCCGCTGCAAACATCCCACGGACACGTGACCTTCAAACATCAGGACGGCCCCTTCGCGCGAACGGCGCGGGCGCAGATGAGGTGGACCTGTACACTTCGGCAGCAAGTCATGGGAGCCCTGCGTGTCCTCGAAACTCCGTCTCTGGAGTGCATCAGGGTGCGCTAAAGTGTGGTGATATATGAAGAAGCACCGATAGCGCCGATCAGCGCCGACTTAGCGTCGGCTCAAGCAGATTTAGCGTCGATTAGCGTCGGCTGGCGTCGATCCGCAAGAGACAGCAAGATGACATGGAAAGCTCACTTGAGTTGTCACATAAATACACGTCGACGCCTCCCAGATGGGGTCCGCGTAGATGGGGCTTGAAGGATCGCGCCGCATCGCCGCCGCATCGCCGATGCACCAGCGATGCATCGGCGACGTTGGCGATGCGCCCGCGACGTCGGGGTGGAGAACATCGGGCTCCACATCGAGCCGCACCGTGTATCGGCGATGCGGCACGGTCCTCCGACCCCATCTACGCGGACCCCATTTGGGAGGTCTGAAATGCGGCAAGCTTCTGTCGTGACGACCCCAGCGTCGGCCTCCGACACCGCGAGGGTCGTTCAGCCTTGGACGCTCTGCGGCTTTCCGATCGCGCGTTGTCGCTCGATACCGGCCGCTTCGGGCCCCTGGCGGCGTTCAACCTTGAACGCCCGCGCTGCGGTCGCCGCCGCGTCGACACGACATGAACCTACAGTAGTTTTGGAGGCGGCCGGGGGGCCTGAACTGCCCCGAGAACATCTGCCAAGAGGGGCGGGGATAGAGGCAAATCGTTCAAAATCGGTCCCTGGACCCCTCCCAGGGTCCATGAGGTGCAGCTTTTCACCCCAAATCCGTTTTTGACGGTCCCAGCGCCCGAAAACGCTCCCTGGAGATAGAAACAGGCAAGCAACCGTCTCGAACCTAGAACCTCGAACATCTTCCCCCCCCTTCCTGCTGGCCAGAACCAATGCTGGGCCACTTCAGAACCCCCCGTCGGCTCCAAGAAACGACAAGAACCTACCGCAGCTGCTGCCGCTCCGTGGGGCACGAAGAAAGCGCGGGCCCCGACGGAAAGAGGCCGTGGACCTCGGGGGCCCTCCTCCCAGGACCCGCTCCTCATCCTGAGCCGTTTGTTGGCAGTCCCGGGGCCCGTGGAGGGCCCTGGGAGGCCACAGAACAGCGCGGGAACCCAGGGCCCACTCCCCGCAAGGCCCAGGCCTCCTCCAGAGGGGGGCGACCGGGGGATATGTCGACACCTCTCCCATGCTTCGTGGGGTTTTCGAATGGACCAGAAATTTGGGGGCCTAACCTAGGATATACGATGGGGGGGCGTCCATTCTCAGTTGGGGTGCGTCCGAATAGCCCTCTTGAGGTGTATTCCTGGGTGTCCTCTTTTCTGAGTGGTTTCGTTTTTCGTCGCAAGGCCGGGCGCTGGGGCAAAAATAATCGCCCGCGAGGGGGGTGGCGAGGCGGGGCAGGATCAGTCAATACCCCATCGGGAGGTCGAGTCGAATCGGAGCGTGCGCCGGAGCGTGCCCGAGCGCGCCCGCTGCCCCCCGAGCGACCCCTTTTGAGGCAGCGGCGCGGGCGGGGCGGAGCTGTCCGAGCCTCTCCTGGCACCGCTTTCGGCGACAGCAGAGTCGCGGCTCTGGAATCTTTGGGGACACTCGCGGGAGCCTCCCGTGCCGTCTTGCTGGCTCTTGCGAATCGACGCGAATCGAATCCAGTAGACGCTAATTGGGCACTGCTCGATGCGACGTCGGCGCTTCCTAATCGACCACCAGGCGCCAACGCACGCCCCAGCGCACTCGGAAGACGGAGTTCCGAGGACATGCAAGGCTCCCATGAGTTGCTACCGAAACAGCTGGCTGCGGTGGCGGACCCCCGGGGGGGGGTCCTGGTCGGGGGACTCGCTCTGAGCAGAATGTTGTCGGACATGGGGCAAAGACGGGGCGGCCCTCGCGAGAAAGCAAGGGCCGGAGCGGTCGGTACCGAATCGGGAAGTCGGATCGAATCGGCACGCGCGTTGGATCGGCCCGCATCGGCACGGAGTCGAGCTCGGATGGGATCGGCTGCGCCAAGATGCACCACAAGAGCGCCATGCGAACATTTGGCGGCATCGCATCGTCGGAAGGGCGAAACACCGAATCGGATCGAGCTGGCTGGAATCGATCTCGAACCGCACCGGTCGCATCGAAAAGGACCCCGCTGGGGCCTCGATGCCTCGATCGGCTTCGCGCAAGAGTGGCCCTGGGCAAGAGAGAGACCCCTGGGGTACTGCGGCTCCAGGGGGCCGCGGGGGGACCCGGCCCATGGGCACAGGCCGCTGCTATCGCACATCGCATCCCGCGATCGGGGGCCCTCGACGGGCCCGCACCACCGCCACTCCGATGCAGGGCCGCTCTTACTTGTAGTCGGCTCGAGCGGAGGGCGGGCATGCGCGGTCGGAGTGGATGAGGCCTGAGGATCGCACCACATCGCTGGTGCATCTGCGATGCCTGGGCGACGTCGGGATGAATACAATGGGTCAACGGATCACGCCGCATCTGCACTTTCCTGCCTGGGGCAGCCTAGATCGAGGTTCGAGGGGCGAGGATGCTGTGCGGGGGCGGCAAGCCAGCCACATCGAGTACGCACTACACATTCTGTCTGGTATGGGTTCTTAGTGTTTCACAGCTCCCCCCCCTCCCAATCACGCTTCCTTGCATGCACCGCCCCCTTCTCCCGAGACACTGAGCGCACCGACGTGATTTTAGGGATATCCGATGCTTCAAAGATGCCCAAGATGGCTTCCAAGGCGGCTCAGGTAGGCCACGAAGGCCGCCAAGATGGCCACGTATGGCCCCAAGACGGCTCAAGGCGGTCTCGAGACGGCCCAAGAGGCCTCCAAGACAACGCAAGATGGCTTCCATGCGGATCCCCAGGAAGACCAAGACGGCCCAAACCTATGATTTCCCATGTCCTGGAATGATTGTCGCAGTTTCGCCTTTTCGGGCTTGCTGGCTCAAGACGGCCGCAGCGGCCTCCAAGATGGCACCCAGACTGCCCAAGACGGCCCAAGATGGCCGCCCGAGGGCCTGGGGCAGCCCCAAGAGAGCCCGAAGCTGGCCCAAGAAGGCATGCGGAAGGACCCACGAAGGCCTTCGAGAGCCCCTCCACGGCCCAAGATGGCGCTACCTCGGCGAGACGATTGCTGCAAGAGACCCCCAAGATGGCCAAGGAACATCTGGACGGCCACGGAGAGCCCCGAGACGGCCGCAAGACGGACCCAAAGGGCCCCCAACAACTCCCAAACTTGACACATGATTTCCCAACGCAACCACAACACGGTGAAATGAGTCCCGTGAAACCTCCTCAATACGTGAAGACAAACAAATACCACATATGACGCAGCCTCCTATGCGGCCCCCGAGCACCCGCCACCCAAGGTCATGGTCTTGCAGCAGGTAGCTGGATGATGGCCATCCAATGGCACTGCGATTGCCAATGCAATGCGGCTGCTTTTCCCCTGCAGGTCCAAGTTCATCACAACAATACCAGTCTTGCCTGTGTCCCTGTGTTGTCACTGTGCACCTCGTAAAATAATACAATCCGCCGACATAGACGTGCATGGCGACAAAAGATACAGCACAACCCCTTGACAACGAAAATGCCGATACACAATTCATGTAGAATCCGCAGGCGCCTCAAGGGAGAATGCAGGGGAGCCTCAGGGTAACCACCTCGGGGAAGATCAAGCGCGCGCACGCGCCGGAGCACGCGACGTCGACGGCGCAAGAGGTAACTTTGAGCTTTCACAAGGCAAGCAAACAGCTGCAAAGGCTTCGATTCTCGGAGATCCGCGCGGATTCCTTGAATCGGCGCTGGACCTCCCTGGCGACGCCTCCGGCCCCGCCCCTGGCACGCTCCAGGGACGGGGGTCCAGAGCCGACCCGAAAATCCCGCGAGGGCAACGAGATCCGCAGTCTTGTCGTTCCTCGACGTTCTGAACTTTTTCATCGCTCTCCACGGCGGCGGAGGCTGCGCGAGCTCCCCGCGCCCTACGAGAGCGGCGCCCGTGCACCGTACCATGTCTTGACTCCCTTCAGGCCCCGCTCCAGCGCGGTGCGGTGCTTAGTCGCTCGGCTCTGAGGGCCGAGAAACTGTGCACCGTTCCACTCCTGAGCTGAGGATCGACGGCGCCTCGAGAGGCGCACACGCAGTACGGTGCACACATGTCGTGCGCGGACGCCCCCGAGGACTCCCGAGGGCCCGTGCCAGCCTCTCACAGGAAGGAGCCCAGGCCGCGGTGGGGCGGCGCTTCGCGGGCGCGGGCGCGGCGGCCTGTGCGGCGGCGACGGCTCGGCGTAACATGCAGCCCCCCCCCCAGCAAGCGCAGGATGCCCACATTCGGGTGCGACGAGGAGTCTAGAGGGCTTTATGGGGCAATAGGAGGCCCCAAGGAGGGCCCAAGAGGTCCCAAGACGGACCAAATCCCCCACGAGGCTCGGGGGCTTCCGCTCAGGGAGCCCTGGCACGTGCGCTTTCCACCGTGGAGGCTGCAGGCGATATCCCCGCGGGCTAGGAGAGGGGGGTCCCCGCATCGTGGACCGAGGCGTGTGCGCGGACGAGGGGGGGGCAGGGGACGCAGTGAAAGAGGAGGAAGAAAGGGCCATGGGCTCTGAGAGACTTTACGGCCCCAGCCATGGCATCCACACACTCATCATCCCCCTCTCGGACGCCCCTTTTTAACACGCGAAGGTTTGAGCAACAACAAGAACAAGTGGGAGAACACGCCTGGGAAATCCTCGCGGGAACGGAAAACAAACACAAACAGGCCCCATCAAGGAGCCATGAACTAATACAAAGCCAAGTACAACACCAGACTGTAGAGGAATGAACACATTGTAGCTGGATTAAGCGGGATCCAGCGTCGATACTGAATTCAACCTATCCAGAGACTCTGGAACATGAACATCGGCAGGATGATGATACATTTGGATCGAGATACTGACAGCTGGCAGGTCTGGAGAGTGTACCAGGCGCCGCGGCCATGCCAGAGCGTTCCAGAACGCTCTGTGAACGTTTCGGAACCCTCTGGAGCGATGTATCTTCATCCCAGGCCTGCCTGATTCAGCGAAGGCTCACACAACCCCGCATGTGGTCCAGTCCGGGCCAGGTGTCCAGGTTATCTCCCCACCTCCGACGGGCCGCAATCGCAAAGGCCTGGAACACCCCCCTCCAGAGCCCCTCGACCCCCCTCCCAGAGGAACAGATTTCGGGAAGACCGCCCGCAGAAGTCCCTGAGGGATGGTCGCGAGATGGGCTGCCGCAAAAATTACTTGCAGGGAAGGGGGGGTGGGGGCGGCACCTGCTTTGAGGGAAGGTCCAGCTGCCAAGGTGTGGCGCAATGAGCGAGGGCAGAAAGTATGTGCAGCCTTTCAATCCACACGCGATCTGCCACTCGTGACATCTCGCCATGACCTCCTCCGACTTGATGTTGGTAGAATATGAACAATCCCCTAACGGTGCTGGCACTGGAGGTCCTCGTTTGGCTCGAAAGCGAATTTCAACAAACAGAATCGACGTATTTTGGTTGCACTTGTGCTCTATGGGTAAGTGCCCTATGGCTGCTGCGCTATCTCCTCCCTGCCGTCCGTTGTGCTATATCGGTGTTGCTCTCTGACAGGTGCTCTGGGGTGCTACACTGACTGTGAGTTCCCAATGTTGCCCTGGTGCTCTATGGCTAGTGCTCTATGGCCGGCGCCCTGTGATGCCTTCATGGCCGCGATCTCTCGTCACTGCCTTGGTGCCCGACGGGCGGTGCTTTCTGGCTGGTGCCCCCATGTTGCCGACATGGCTGCGACCTCTCAATACTTCCCTGGTGCTCTATGGGTGGTGCTTCATGGCATGATCTCAGCGGTGCCTTCATGGCCGCGAATACTCGATGGTGTCTCTATGGGTGGTGCTCCATGTCTGGTGCCCTTTGATGGATTGCTCGTCGAGTTTTCCCGTTCTCGCCACAGTGCACTGGGTGGACTGTGGACTGCGCGCTAGCTTTCAGGCCCCATTTGTTGCGAGCCATCATGCTTGTCGGGGTGCCCTATGAGTTTTGCTCTGTGGCATACACTCTATGATGCCTCACTTGTCACTTGTTGCGAGTTATTGCTCTTGCCTTGGTGCTCTCTGGGTGGTGCTCTATGGCTGGTGCACTATGGTGTGCTGGTTGGTGCGACTTCCTGCTCTTGCCTTGGCACCGCATGAACGGCGCCCTATGGCTTGTGCTTTATGGTGCATCAACTGTTGCGGCATATCGCTTTCACCTTGGTGCCCTACGGGTGGCGACATGGGTTTCACCTCATAGGTCGCAACAGATGTCTTCCACCATGCACAACGTATGTCGAAAGTATACACACCTACAGTTCGGGGTCCATGTTGGCAATAATTGAATTGTATTTTCCATGGGGTTGAAACTTACTCCCCCTGGTACAATGGTTGCGAAGTTCGAAACTGATTTGCTAATCGTTCCCCCATCCTCACCCTTGGGGGCCTGCGGGGAGCCGTCATCATCCTACCTTCTCCGCCAGTGCAACGCCGAGCAGGGGCCCTGGGAGAAGCAAGGCAACTAACAACCTGACGCATACGACTAGTGTTCACCACAGTGACTGGTGTTACGCACGAGGGCAGAATAGCCAACCTCATAAGAACCACCCCTACGAGCGAATCCCTGGAAGCCACGCACCAAGGGAAAGAATCGGATAGGCTGGGGACCCCCAAGAATGCCCCACTGGAGCCCCAAAACCACCTCAAGACTTCCCAAGTAGGCCCTGTGGGAGCTCCTGAAGAAGTGGAGACGCGAGGTACACGTGTGTTGCAGTGCTGGGCGGTGACCGAAAAATCGCCGCACAGAGAGCTTCGATGGCATGGTGGCGGAGGTGCCACACATCTGGATATCGGGATCTGGGAGTCCAAGAGCATTTGCTTCCAACAAACGACATGTGATTGTCGAGCCCTTCTGTCGGTTGGATTCGGTGGTTACCTCTTCTTGATCGTCCGCTCTCGAAAACTGCGTGCATCAACTATGGACATTGCTGGTGATGGACCAGACAACTTGCAGACACATCCACGAGGTGGTCGGGACGCCTACGACGTCATGTAAAATCGGCAACAACAATCAAAACACATCCACAGCTGATTTGACCCAAACCCAGCGAACGCAAATGTCAGCCGAGGCCAAGGGACATGTGGCAACGTCTGGGTCAGCGTTCCGAAGAGCACTTCGCCGTGGCAAAAGAAGGGCCTCAAATGGATAAAACAAATATGCAACGATGGGATACCCGTGGGCCATACAGAACGTAATCCGCCGACCCCTTGGGGTTCATCGGCGCGCGAGATCACCCCCCTCCCCAAACCCCTCCCCCGGGAGCCCGGTCCAGTCGATTTGGAAGGGGGGGGGGTCGGTTCAAATTCCCCGAATTCCTCGATTCCCCCGGGGGGTCATCTGCTCCCGAAAATCCTGCAGGAACTCCTCCGGTGGCCTCGAAATGGCCCCGGGACGCACCACGACGGCTCAAGAGGACCTCCACGTGGCCTTCAGCGACTCGAAGATGCCCCAATGTGGGCTCAAGACAACTCACGATGCCTCCCAGACGCTCCAAGAGGCCCCGAAAAGGGGCGCTCCAAGAAGGTCCAAAGCAGCGAAAATCATTGATTTTCAATAAGGAAAAGCACATGTTTACCATCGACGACTTTTCAGCCTGCGCGGAGTTCCAGCCAGTCTAAGAGGCCCCCAAGGCCACCCCATGACGTCCCGAAAGGAGACGGCCCAAAACGGCGCCAAGACGGCCCCAGAGGCTCCCGAATCGGCCCAAAAGAATCCCAAAACGGCTCCTAGAGGGGCCCCCGCGGCGGAGCCCGAACCGAAAATCCGAGCCTTCCGCTCCCACCTGGCCCTGGGACACCCCACGAGCCGCCCAAAAGGTCCCAAGAGACCCCCAAAAGACCTCCAAAGAGAGTCCGAGAGGCCCAAAAGAGGCCCCAAGAGGTCCCAAAACGGCTATCAGTGAACTTCGAAACTACCTCCACGAAGCCTGCGATATGCCTCCCCGCAGATCCCCCATAACCCTCCCAGGGACCTCAAACCGGAGATTTGCCCCCCCTGGGCCCGGCACGAGCGCATCACGGGACTTTTCCGGGGTCAAGAGGGCTTAAACACGGGCCAAGAAGGCCCCCCAAAAGCCTCCAAGACGGCCCACGAGAGCTCCGAGACGCGAAACGACCTCTCCGACTTCGGTAGTCTTCTCTTGCACGCGCCGCTCCTGTCGCCTTTTGAGGATTCCCCACCCGCTGCTGCTGCAAATGTTTCGTGTCCGAGAACGCTCCTCCGCACGCCGCGCACGTTACGTCGCACCTCGTTCTCTCGCTCCTCCGCGCATTTCTGACAGAGCATCTCCCCCGATGAATTGTGCTTCCTCTGTGCACCAGACATTTCCGCCTGCTCTTTCAACAGCGTCAGACATGTCTTGCTCGACCGCATTTAAGGGGTCGGCGGATGTGGCGTAAGCCTGAATATCAATATGACGTTCAGCAACAATTTCGACTGCCGCGAACAATTTATGATCTTGTACCACCAAGAGCCCCACGCGCGCGCATACAACTAAGAGGAAACTACCATACACCTCTGGCCCTCGCAAGCTGCGCCCCGCCATGGCAGCCATCACATCAGCATCCCTGGCAGCGTGTCGCAAGAAGGTCGCCTGAACAGAACATGAAACAAACGTGACAGAGCAGACGGAAGACAGGGCCCATTTTTCGGTTGCACGCCAGAGTGACCCCAGGCAAGAAAACCCTTTGGCGCGCGGGGCCACGGGGATCAAACCCAAGCGCGCAGGCCCCGCACCAAAGGTCACCCCAGCGAAGGGTCACTCCGTCGCGGGGAGGCACGTCGGTGGCAAACCCGGGGGGACAAGTGAGAAGGGGCGGGCCTTCTCAGAAGGCTCGGAAGTCCCCCAGCATTCTGAGAAGTGGTCGGAACCTTTCCCGGATACACAGGACACTTCTCAGAAGGCCGCAGGGCTTCTGAGAAGTCCCACCACCTTCTGAGAGGGCCTTCTCCTTCTTACTTCCCCCCTTTGCTCGCCGCCGAGTAGGTATGGCCTTCGGACCCAGGCCTCCAGCGGCCGTTTGGAACGAAACCTCAGAGCCCAGCACCAGGCGGCGGAAGCACACGACGCGAAGCGTGGCAGAACAGACGCAGGACAGCCGAGCCGTGGGGAAACCAACGGGTATCGATACCGCTTCGGGGATCGACTGACCCGGGTCAATGCAATCCTGCCAGTCCCTGGTCAATGCACTCCTGGCTCTGCAGGATCCTGCACGATCCAGCGCTCTGGCTGGCCCGCGTTTGCATTGACAACCGTCTCAAGGCTCCCGACCGCTACTCCCCGATCTCTCACGGGGTGCACTCTGACCAGAACTTCGAGGCGAACCCAGCCGTGGCGAGGAGGGTCCCAGGAGGCCCAGAAACAGGAAAACGAGGGAATGGTAACAGTGCGGGTACCTTCCCAAACATGCGACGTCCTAACTTTTTCCATACGCGGTCCCTGGAAATCCCCTCTCCCCGGGACCGGTTTTTCGTCCTGGAGTCCTGCACACTTGTTTGACCCTCCCGAGGCCAGGCGAGGGCCCCCAGAGGCCGAAAACGGCGAAACGCAAGAACGCTCCCGTCTTGATGTTCCACATCGCGAGCACGTCTGGGCAGGGGTTCGTTTTCCTCCTCCGATGCCCCCAGTGGCCTCCCCCGGGCCCAGCGGCGGCGGCGAGTGCCCACGCGGGCGCCCCGAGGGAGCTCTGGGCGGGCGGGGGCACGCCTCGGGCGCGCGGCCCTTCCCCCCCCGCGGGGCGGGCCCCGACGGGCCCGGGGCTGAGATCGATCCACAGCCAGCGAGGTGCGGCGCGACGGGATCAGACAGTCAACCCTTAGCAGGAGAGTGCGCGGTGAGGATGCAAGGGCCCTGGAGGCCCATGCGAACGATTTTCGAACGAGGCTGGCCAGCGAACGTCGCTGAGGATGGGCCGACGGGGCAAGCATGCAAGGGTACCCTTGGGAAAGTTGCCCATCCTTACTATGCGGGTTGACTGTACAGTGAGGGCATCCCAGACATGCTCGCGTCGTACACAAAAACAGGACGGGATGCTTTTTTTGCCATCGTCGGCCACTGTGAGCTCTTCCCCAGGCCTCGAGGCCGTCAAGAAACGGTTCAGAACCAAAAGACCAGCCATGGGGAAAGGGATGGGACGCCGGGAACCGCTTATGGAAAAAAATAGAAACATCTCATGTCTGAGATTGGATAAGGAACCGTTGGGCGACGAATCCAGCGTCTGCAAGCCGGTAGAGCTCCAGTCGTGGACTGGCCATAGACATCACCGCCGCCCTCATCAGACAAGGACTCCCCCAGGGTCTGAAGCCTCCTGCGCACATTCCCTAACCGACGTCCACGCCGCAGGGATGCGCGTGAACATTTAAGGGCACTGGACGCCCAAGCTCATCCTCTTGGGCACAAATGGCCAGCGACGGCCAGCGACAGTGGCTACAGAAGGCTGGGCCGACGCTCTGCAAGGATGACAGGGTGCCCTGGCACGGAGAACTACTCGTTCTTGTGTGATCCTGGTCGACTGCATCTGAGGTTGCAGTAGTATGTGGGACCTGCTCTAGAACAGGAACACACCTCAGACGGATCTACCCTTTCTCCGACCTTGAACTGCGCCGACCGCATTGGCCACGTTGTCCATAGACGCATCCGCCCCGAATGTGTCTCTAGTCTCTAGACGTAAAGGCACCGAATGTGTACATAGACGCTGTGGCTAGAAACAGGGAAGGGTATCTGGCATAGGCCCGAGATACTGGTCTTCTAGAATGCATCCAGGCTTTGCCCCTCAACATCCGAGGACAGATGGGGCAAGGAGACGACTTTGCCATCCGACGGCGCCCGCGAGGCCAGAGCCACGACTGGAACCCCTCGGGACGCGGCTCCACACGGTCTGGGCCTCGGGGGCCTGCAGCGGCACGGGAGCGAGTCCGTCGCGAGCTCCCGACGACCCGTCGACGTGCCCTGTATCCGCGGCCTCGGGCTCCCGACCCCAGCGGCGGGGGCAATTTCGCGTCCAAGGCGAACTTTTGATGGCCCCGGGACCCGACAACGACAGTGGCAACCGTAAGGGGCAAACAAACTGCATCAGCAGAAACTTTCGGAGCTCCACGCGGACTTCTCGGATCGGCGCTGGGCTCCCCATGGCGGCGCCTCGGGCGCCACCTTTGGCGCGCTCCGCGCGCCAGGCAGGGGGACCAGCGCCAATCCAAGAAATCCGCGCGCAGCTCGGAGCATGTATGCTTATGCAGCTTCTTCTTCGACGCCGGAGGCCGAAACTGCGAGGAAAAACGTAGCGGATGAGCAAATCGGTGCACACGGTTTCTGGGACGCCAATGCGTGAGGGAAGGGTCCGAGTCGACGAGGACGCTGCTGCAACGCCCTCTTTGGGCCGGCTTTTCATTGCATCGTCGCCACCGTCTGAAGTATTCACGGGGCACTGGCGCCAGACTGCAGCCGCCCCAGAGATCCGATGTCTTGTTTTTTCACTGTGGGGTCCGCGGAAGTCCCGCCCCTTTGCCAAAGGCAAACTTCTCTTCCCGAATCATTGTGTTGGCGGTCCTGGGGCCCTGTGGGAACCCCCCAAAACCGGAAACGACAAAAACCGTCCGTGTTAAATTTTGTCCCCACCAGACAGGTGAGGGTTGTTAGACTTAGGAAAATATCTCCCAACCCGCCCAGCACACCCTGCATGCAGCGGCCGCCATGCCCAAAATGCGCCAACGTTCCACGGGCATTCCGGCTCGCGCCTTCCACGAATGACGACTGCATACCGCGGCCGCCAGGTCCATCGTATGGTGCTGGGTTCAGACCCGATCGAGACAACATAATTCAATGCGTTGGAGGCCTGGGGAAACGGCGTCCGGAGGCCGAACACGCTGTAAACACTCTGGCCTCGATCGATACCCGTCGATCGGAAGGAGTGGGTAGACACATGAAGTAGGAAGGCGTTGGAAGTAGATTGGGCCTCCGCCCGCCCCCTGATGCAGGGAGAAGAGGAATAGCCGCTCGATTCTTGGAGTAGGAAGGCGCCTGAAGTAAATCAGCGTGTAGCTAATCGAGTACCTGCGACGGCCGCTGTAGGGGCGACTCGGGCACCCGCCGAGAGGCGACTCATGCTGGAACGCACCACGAGGTAGCCCAGCAGCAGCAGCAGCAGCAGCAGCAGCAGCAGAAGCACGCGCACGAGGGGCAACATTGACCCGGGATCGGCGCTACGTCGCCAATAGATCGGCGATGGGCCCCCGATGGCGAATCCGCGTGCTCCTGTGCGGGGTGGGCTTTCGGGCCGGGCGCCCCTCAGCGACGAGTGGGCGATCGGGGGCCAGTGCGTCCCCCCCCCCCCCCCATGCTGGCAAGCCGCCGAGAACCAGCGAAAACGTTCGAAAACCTCTAATCTCGAACCCGAACCGCTCATTCCCCTGAGTCTATCCCCCCTCCTAGCGTTGCCTCTGAAAACCGGCGGCGACGATAAGGGCGAATAGCCCAGGGGCGGGCATTACACGAATTCGCCCGGGAGCCTTGTCGAAGACATAGATCATCGGCGCCCCTGGATACATGTATTGCTCTCCCCTGGGCTATTCGCCGCTTTCGCCGCCTCTGAGATGTCGGCAAGAAAGCAACTGCCCGCAACCCGCGCGGCCTCGCGGTCGGCGCGGTCGCTTGGGGGGCAGTTTTTCGCCACGGAGCCCCTTCTTGAGGGTCCTGCCACGCTCGACCACGGGCCCGAGGTCGGAATCGAGGAGCAGCGCCCAGAGGGAGCAAAACCACGTCGTCGGAGACCTGGGCTCGAAGCGAAGCCACGCGAGGGAGAACGACCTCACGGGCTTGAGGTCTCGGAAGCCCCAGTCGCCCGAGACATCCTCGGAACACGGCCCCAAGTCCCAAAGCCGTGCGGCCACCCCGAATCGCCACTGACTACCGCACGGCGCACGGTGTGGTCACCGCCCCGTGTGTGGGCCCCAGAACCCTGAGACCCGACGTCGCACATAAACGTCAACGTCGCGGAAAGCCGTACATGGGAACTAACATCGAACCCCATCTACCACTCGATCGTCACTGTAACCATCACCACGCATCGCATGCGTGGCACGACTGCCTGTTCGTCAGGCACCCCCCTGGACCCCCTCTTTAATAGTGGCGTTGAGTAACCCCGCGGAGGATGGTGCGCCGCAGCAACATTGACGAGGGGGTTGATGGGGTTGCTGACGGTCGGCTCCGCGGCGTCCAATATCTGCAATGCGTAGTGCGAGGGCAAAACGATACCAAGATTCTGTCCATTGTCCGTGTCAACACTGATGAGGGGGGCCTACAAAAAGTCTCACACTCTCGACTCTCGACCGTATACCACGGTACGTTGACTAATCCGGCTTGAACGCTGATTCGATTGTATTTTCCATCTAACGAACCACGACCAGAGACCTAGACCCCATCTTTCTGCACTTCTCGAGCCAGATCGGTGTGTTCCTGGACTGGACACCCAGAGATCCGATGCCTTGCGTTTTTTTAATCGGGTTCCCCAAAGCCCTGACCCCTTGCCCAGGGCCGGTCTTTCACCCCGGACCCTTTTTGGGGGGTCCTGCCTGTGGCCCGGCGAGGATCCCCAGAACCCGAAGAACAAGAAAAACCTCCGTCCCACTCTTTTCAACTAGAGGCCTCCCAAGTGGGGTCCGAGTAGATAGGGACGGAGGATCAGGTCGCATCGGAGGCGACGGCGATGGATCGACGACGCCGAGGTGGAGAATCTTATACTCTACATCGAGCCGTATCGCCAGTGCATCGGCGATGCAGCGCCATCCCCCGAACCCATCTACTCTGACCACATCTGGGAGGCCTATGACAATACTTTGGATGTCGTGAGTACTTTGTTTGGCGCCCCCAGAGGCCGAAAACGACGAAAAACGGTTGTCCCCTTTCTTTCAATACTTTGCACTTCTGGGCACCCAGGCACCCGACGCAATGATGTGTTCGAAACGTCCATCCCCAGGAGGTCTCGACCTATTCCCTGGGATCGGTTCTTCATCCTGAGTTGTTTTGGATGGTCCTGGAGCTCGGCGAGGGCCCTCGGAGGCAGAACAATCCGCTGACCCTTCGGCGTGTGTGAGACGCTGCGTCGTCGTCGTCGTCAACGATGTCGTTGTCGTCTTCATCGTCGTCGTCTTTGTCGTCGTCCCCAGTCGCAAGGAACTTGAGGAACGTAGACACGAAACGTCGTAGTTAAGTCGGTTCCCCTCCGTTCCGTTTTTCCCAGAGGGGAGGGATACGTGGCACGGGGGAGGGCGCGGGGGCGGGTAAAGGGGGGGATCCCAGATTAGATTACCCTGAGGGTCCCGGCGGGTCCCGGGGGTCGGTCCCCTTTAGACAGTGGGGACAAGGGGGGGGTCCCCCCCTGTGGGGGAGGAGCCCTGCGGGGGGTCCCAAATCAGGTTACCGCCCCCCACCTCTCAGGTCCTTGTGGTCGGGGGGGAAGAGAACATTACCGCTTTCCCCCAGGGTCACCCACTGGGGGGGCCAAGAGTCCCCCCTGTGGAGAAGGGTCTTTGGCTGGGTCCCGGGTCAGCGGGGGTCTCGGGGGAGGTCCCACCTTCACGGTCAGCGACACTGGCCAGAAGTCCTTCGCACTATGAACAACCTGCGGCTCGATATTTTCAGCTCTGTGGATGCCCAGGCGCAAAACTCGGCGACTCCCACAGGTGTGACTTGCAAAGGATGTGGTTTGCGGCCCGCGCCGTGGGGGGGAGGGGGCGGGCGAGGACCTCTACAGAGATTTCCGCCGCGCCCCGACGAGGGCTCATCAAAGCTTTAGCGCAACGTGGTGACCCTCTAGGCCCCAATGGCGCCGATTGCAAACCACACCCATGCCAAAGATCCAACAACTCGACAAAAAATTAGCGTCATGAGCAATCAAAACGGAAGCCTATAGAACCCATCTTTCTGCTCCATGTTTGCTGAAGGGATCGATCTATGAGGCCACGGGCCCCGAAACATGGCGAAAACGCCTGACTCATAAAAATTGTAACGCCCAGACCTTGGAAAAAGCCCGAATCAGGAAATTCGCTCAGAATCAATCAGTGGACCCCCTGGACCCCTCGGGGGGGCCGCTCAGGCCAGTTCTTCGAGCTGCGTCCAGCTGTGGCGACAAGGTACGCCCGCGAGGCGCAAAATGACCCGAACCTCGATCCTCGATCCTCCAAAAACACTGGAGTCCCAGGATCTTTGGATGTCTCCCAGATGGGGCGGGGTAGATGGGGTCGGAGGATCTCGCCGCATCGCTGATGCATCGGCGATGCGGCACGATCCTCCTACCCCATCTGAGCTACGATCCCTAACCGGGTCTTGCGCGAGATGGCATAGCGACCTTACGCCCCAGCTTACGCGGGCTCGCCAGCGCGGCATGTCACGTCGGAGACGAGGGCGCTTGGGCGCGAGCTTGCGCGGGCAGCTTACGCGCGAATGCCGCCGAAGAGCGCTGAACAAACGCCCGCCCGCGGCCGGATTGGCGCGGGCCGGCGCGGCCCGATCGGCGCCCGCGGCCGCCCGCGGCCGCCGATCGGGCCGAGGCGGCGCGCCGGGCGCCGCGCCAGGCGCGCCGACCTCGGCCGAGGCGGCGCCCGGGGGCGCGCCGGGCGCGGGCGCGCTCGGAGCGGCGGCGGGCGCCTGGCGGGGCGGCGTCGTCGTCGTCCTCGTCCTCTTCGTGGTCGGTGGCGGCGGCGTCGTCGTCGTCGTCGGCGGCGGAGGCGTCGTCGGCGGCGGCGTTTCGCCTTGAGCGATCTTCGGGCACTCCCAAGCATCCAGCGTACTGAGCAAAATTGAAAGCGGATCTGTTTCGCCGTTTTCGGCCTCTGGGGGCTCTTGCCAGGCCCCAGGACCGTCAAAGAACGACTCACGATGAAAAACCAGCCTGGGACTGAAAAATAGGAAAATCAAAAAATCGGATGTCGGGTTCCCGTGGGTTCTCGGAGTTTCAGGTTCGACGTCGGAGGATTCAGGTTCGAGGTTGGCAGATTCAGGTTCGGGGTCGGAGGTTTCAGGTTCGAGGTTGATTGTTCCTCGACGGCGACGCGTCCCAATGAGGGGCAACAGTAGGGGGCGAGGTTCGAGGTTTGATTTTCGTTTCTGACACTTTCGTAGACTTTCGGCCGCTTTCCAGCATTGCATGCTCACCAGCGGCTGCGCCTCGCAGACAGGTCGCTCCAAACGGCAGCCGGAGACCAGGGTTATGACTGGACCAGTGTTCTCTCGGGGGTTCGCTTCGGCTGGGCGGCGCTGATCGAGGCCCAGGTCTCCGACTTGAGGAAATATCGTGATACACTAGGCTTCGGTCTTGAGCGTCCTGAAGTGCTCAGGTGCCGTGGGCCCCAAGAGCCACTGGGGGATAAGACAACTCCGTCGGAAACCTGCAGGCAGGCCGCTTTGTTCCTGGGATGCGCCCGCTGTATGACTATTTAAATCCGCGCGTGTTTCCTTGATTTCGGCCCCTGGGGCCCGCAACACAATCAACCTATATCATGAGGATGCGCGATAAGGATGCAAGGGCCCTGGACGCCCATGTCAAAGCTTTTCGAGCGGGTCGCGGCCAACGAGAGTCGCCAAGGATGGGCCGAGGAGGCAAGGATGCAGGGGTACCTTTGGGAAGGTTGTCCATCCTTACCACGCGGCTTGACTGTATGCCAAATTCCTTATTAATCGACCCCCTCCTAAAAAAACCGGACCCCCCCCTCCAAATGCGACTAACATTCCGGACCCCCTTCGACGGGGCGCCTTAATAATTAAACCGGACCCCTTATAAGCTCCAATCCAAAGAGAACGCCCTAATAGACTGGACTCCCACAAGTACAAAAAAGGCGCCTTTAAAAGACCGGACCCGGGGGACGATTATTAAGGAATTTGTAGTATCGGGCCCGAGGGCCATCAGACATGGCTCTCTGGGGTCGGGACCTCCAGGGCCGCGCCCTGAGATTGCACCGTCGGATGTCCGGGGACGCCCGGCACCTCGAACGCATCGAGGCGGCCGGTGTGGCGTCGCTCTGCTGCCTCTGGAGGCGGTTTTCGCGCCTCGAATGAGGCTGTCGGAAGGCGGCTCGGGATGAGAAAGCGGCCTTCTGGGGAGGGGATGTGAGCAGGGACCGACCGTCCAGGCATTCCTATAGGCCTACCACGACATGTTCTTAGAACCCAAACATGTTCTAATAACAAAACCCATTCTGAGAACATTGATAGGCAGGCCTATAGGCACGCCAGGACGCTAAGCCACTGCTTCAGGGATGAAGAGAGAGGTCCGTGGGCACACGCATCGATACAGAGGCACCGGATGCCTGAGAGTGAGTGGCCCTGACCGTCCAGAGGCCAACACGGAGCACGCAAATTATCAGGAGTGCTCAGCGCCTCGACCATACACTGACAATCTCAGAATATGAAGCTAATTGCTTTGCTCTTGAGCCCTCCTGCAGGAGGGGGTGGCTTCACGCACGCAAGCGATAGGCAAGAGTGGCCTTTGTTACGTGGCTTTGAGGGGGGGAGCGCGGGGAGGAGGGGGGCAAACCCCGACGCGTAAGCCGCTCCTATTGCATCGCACTGCGCGAAGTGGGAAACCGGGTGGACTCACATCAAAAGCCGCTCGGGCAGAGGGTCCTTCTCGCGGCTTGCCTGCCGTTGCCGTCGCATGCGGTGCGACGGTGAAAAGGCCCGCGTCACTCTGGCGAAGGGCCACTCTTGTGCATAGCTGAGCTTGAGAGGGGCGACTCCCCTTGTTTGGGCCTCTGGGGGGCTTCTCGTTGCCACGACTGGATTCCCCTCGAAATCCACTCGTCTGAGCGACTTGCCGAGGCCAGGAGGGTTTACACACCATCCTTGGGCCCAGGATGGCCCTGACCAGGCATGGTGGTGTATGGGTGCCTCCTGCGACTGGTGATGGGTGCGTGGGCGCGACGCCCTGACTTGTCCATCGAGTGCCCCCTCGGTCTGACCCCGAGGTGTGGTCACCTCAAGCGCGGCGGCCCCAACGAGTACTGCCACGTCCAGGTCCTCGTTGGCGTCGTGAGCTGATGTCAGTCTTCCACATGTGCTGCTGTTGCTGTAGGTGGTGGCAGCCGTCCAAACTCAAACATGCAAGTTGTTGCTAGACTCCTGCAAACAAGTCGAGTGGATCATGTGGCTGTGCAATGATTGCCCTCTGGCTCCCAGGGCCAGGCCCACCCTTCCCTCAGGACCAACGCTCTTCCTGTCGAGCGACACCAGCCGATGCCAGGCCGAGCCAGCTCGTCACCGCGCCCGCGCGAACATTGGCAGGAGAAAAACGGGTCCTGCGGGGAACGTGTCCTAGACCCTAGACCCGCTGCAAGGCCTTCCCCCGGGACCAACTCTTCAGGCTGAGCCGTTGCTGTTGACAGCCCCGGGGCCTGGGAAGGGCCCAGCGAGGCCTAAAGCGAGAAAAAAGACGCGGGAACAGTTTCTGGAGGCCTCCCAAGTGGGCTCCGAGCACATGGGGCCCGAGGATCGCGCCTCATAGCCGATGCATCGGCGACGTCGGCGACGCATCGGCGCCGTCGGCGTGGAGAAAATCGGGCTCCAGATCGAGCCGCGCCGCCGATGTATCGGCGGACAACTAATATGAACAGAACTCCTCGGAGGTCCGCGCGGAGCTCCGAGAGCGTTGTCGTGCCGATCCAGGTCCCCGATGCCCAGAGCGTGTGGAGCGGCGTCCCGAGGCGTTCTGGTCGCGACTTGGGTCTCGCGGGCGCCGTCGGATGTCAAAGTCGTCGCCTCGCCCCCCCCCCCCCCCCCGCCGTCCTCGGATACAGTCGACCAGGATCGCGACCGATCGAATAGTTGATCGTCCCAGGGCCGCCCGTCGTCCTTGCAGAGCGTCGGCCTTGCTGTTGCAGCCGTCCCTGGCCGTCGCTGGCCACTCTTGCCCAAGAGGCTCCAGCTCGGGCGTCCAAGGCCCTCAAATCTTTACCGCCCGTCCCTGCAGTGGGGGCGTTGGTTCAGGAATGTGCCCAGGAGGCCTTAGGTTCATGCTGTCTTGTCTTACGTCGGGGCCGCGCGGAGCGTGCAGGAAGCTCGAAGCGCACACCCTGAGACTTCACGCTGCACGCAACAGAACAACATCGTGAAACATCTGGGGAACTTCACGGAGCACATGGTTCTACTCGTGCGTCGATGCCGCCTCCAACGCCCGTCGACTTCAATCGACCTTAAGCCGAACCGCTCTTAGATCCAACGCCGCGAAAAAAGGCAACATCGTGAAGACCCACGACCGTAGCCCGGAGCCCCATCTTTCAGCGGCACCTTCCGGGTCGGATGGATCTGTGATGATCCAGGGGCCCGAGACCCGGCGATAACTCCCGCTGTTAAAAAAAACACTGCAGCGCCCGTATCTCAGGGGAAGTGAAGGCCGCGCGGCGCGCATCGCGCAGGAGGTTCGAAGTGCATTTCCCGAGAGAGGCCAAGAGATCCGACGCCATGATGTTTTCAAGACCGGGTCCGCGGAAATCCCGACCCCTTCCCCGGGTCCGGCTTCGCACCCCGCGTCATGTTTTTTTGTGTTACGGTCTCGGGGCCTGTCGATGGCCCCCAGAAGCCGAAAACGGCGAACAGCCTCCGTCTGGATTTCTTCAGTACGTTGGATGTCTGGGTCCTTCTGGGCCCCATCTATGTCCTCGTCGTTGCCCGGAGCTCTGGGCCCCATCTTTCTGCAGCGTTTTTCAGGCTGGATCGTTCTGCGAAGGAAAAGCGGCGAAATCGCCCGTCGTGAAAAAATTGCAAGGCTCAGATCTCAATGTACGTTGGCTGTCCGGGCATACGGGGTCCGCGGAAATCCCGACCCTTGCCCCAAGGCTTCTTTCCGTCCCGAGTCATCTCTCCTTTACGGTCCTGGGGCCCAGAAAGGCCCCCCGCCCGGACTGAAAACGGGGAACAAAACCTCTGACCGTGTTTTCTTCGCGACGCGAGCACGTCAGGGAAGCGCACGCCACGAGTCGAGCAGGGACGAACCGTCCGGCATTCGCGAAGTGCTCTTAGAACCGAATAATCTTCTAAGATCAACAATTTCAGAAAGCTGGGGCATTCGGACAAGCGCTTCAAGACGGTCCCAACCTGAATTGTTCTAAGAACACTCCGTGCAGACCACAAGAGGCTCTGAGAACATTCGTTAATATTCATCGGTGAGCCTAATACTACACGAAAGCCAGGACGCTTCGCCACTGCTTGACATTGGGAGCATGTTTGAAAGCCATGAGATCAGACGTCTCGAAGAAGTTGAAGCATCGTGAACAACCACGACCAGAGTCCCAGACCACATCTTTCTGCGCCAATTTTCAACTGTGAGGACACCCGAGCCTGCAACGGAGCGAAAGCGCCTGGCGCAACGAATTGCAACGCCCAGACTTCAAGGAGCGCCCGCATCTGGAAGTCCGCTCGGAATCGGTCCCTGCACCCTTCCAGGGACCCGCCCTGGCCAGTTTCTCGAGCTGCGTCCAGCCGCGGCGACGAGGTGCGCCCGCGAGGCCCAAAAGGGCCCGAACCTCGATCCTCGAACGCCGATCCTCGAAAGAACACAAGAACGCCGATCCTCGCACGCCGATCCTCGAGTCGCCAAGATCTTCCCAAGAAGCTGGAAGCACACGTGGCTGGGCTCACACGTGGAGCATCCGGAGCCCTCGCGCCGGATGCACGTGCGGAGGGCCAGCGTGCCTGGCCATCGAAAGGGCCGAGCGCTGGAACGACACGCGGCCGCGTGTGCATCCGGCTCTCGCCCAGGCCGGCCGCGTCCTTTGAGCAGGGACCGACCGTCCCAGCGTTCTGCGTGGCCCATACCACGAAACGTTCTCGGGACCAGCAGAGGCTCGAATCACAAGACCACGGTTCTTGCAACGTCAAGCCGATGTGCTAAAACAGGACCGCCTCAGCCAGACATGTTCTGAGAACATGCCGTGCAGACCATCACTAGTTCTCAGAACAGTCCTTGGTGGGCCAACCTAGGCAAGCCAAGGCGCTTCGCCACTGCTTCAACGTCCTGTGTATCCGGCTTCCTGGTAGGACTCGTGCAGCGCGCGCCCCGCGAGAGGCGCCGCCCCCGCGGAGCCTCGCCCGCGCCCGCGGGCCCGCCCGCTGCGGGCGTGCCCCCCGCGGGCGCCGGCGTGGCGCTCGGGGGCTGCGCGCCGGCTGCCTCGCCGCCGGGCGCGGCGGCTCCTGGCCAGGGGGCCCACGGAAGACGTACGCGCCCGGCCGCTTGGGCACCCGAGTTATATCCGGGCGACCTGCGATCTGGGGTAGCTCCGGGGTGGGCCTCCGCGAGCCTGTACCTGAACTGACCGCCCTCGGGAGCGTCGGACGCGCGAGCTCTCTGGGACAACTGTGGTCCGGGGTAGCTCCGCTTGGGGCCTCCGAGGCGCGAATCTCCGATTATCCCTGACCGCCCCACGCTCTGATGATTCTGACTCGGGGCTCGGAACCACGTGCGTGAACATGGCCCCCCAATCCGCGAGACCGGCCTCGCGATGCGAACACGTACGTGTGCGTTTTTCTTTCGCTCCTGACTGGCGGCGCCCTGGCACCACGCAGAGGGGGGTGGGGGGAGGGGGGAAGGCTGCTTGACAGCAGGGATGATTCTAAGAAGCTTCCACCCCCCTTGCCCCCCGCCTCTGCGCGTGGCCAGCGCCCGCTTGAGGCAGCCAGCTACTCGTTTGGTACCTCCCTGGAGCCCAATACCTAGAAATCTGGCTTCTGGAAAAATTCGAAGCGCTTGTGTTTTTTTTATGTCGCTTTCGGCCTCTCGGAACCCTCGCTGGGCCTCGGGGCCGGCAACAAAAAATACTTGGTAAAGCCTGTCCAGAGGAAGTGGTTGAGAAGTCGGGGAAATCGAAAGGCCTGATGTGTGGTGATACTGGAGCAGGGGATCAGCGAGTTCGTTTTCTCCTTCGGTCGGCCTCCCGCCAGTTGCGCGGTGGGAATATGGTTTGAGGCGTGCTCGGCTACAGGCTCGGACCGAAAAAACTATGGATTTGCACTGCGCGCTGCTGAATCAGAACAGGGCTACCCGTGGCAGCTTTTGCCCAGGCGGGCGCCGCCTTTAGCAGCACCCTCCCTGGAGCCAAACCGCATACTATTCGCGAAATGCCCGTGACCCGCCCCGCCGATCCCCCTCCCTGGTTGCCTCACGATTCGCGCCAGCGCCTTGTGGGAATGTGGCCATTCCTGAACATTCCCAAGCGGCGCCAGCGCGACTCGTGACGTGACTGGCACCCCCCCTCTTCCCACCTGGCTCTGCGCAGGTCGACTGAAAATCGGCTCAAGTCGGCGGACGTTCGACGCGGCATCGGCGCACCCTAGCACCGCCCGCCGTGACCCCTCCACACCGAGGGGGCCTGGCAGCGGCAAGGCTTTGACCCGAGCGCCCCGCCCTCCACGGGGAAGTATCAAGGGGCCCTGGGACACCACTACACATACATACTTACATGCACTCGCATATGTTCCCCCACTTTTCATATTTTCCCCGCCTTCCGCATTTTCAAATGTTCAGCATTTTCCAATGTTTGTCCCTCTTCTTTTCCCCCAATTCACACTTCTCATTTTCCCTATTTCCCCACATGTTAGATTTCCGCCCCACTTCTCATATTTCCCAACCACGCTTTGAAGAGACAGTGCCCCGCGTTCCTCTCCTTCCTCTCCTCCTCCCCCTCCTCCCTCCTCCCATCCCTGCCTGCACCAAGTACAGCGCTTCGTGGCCTCATAGGGAACTCCACCGAAGGCCCCAGTGGCAGCGCCCGCATGCAGTTCCACCTCCATGTCGGTGTGCCCCTCGCACGCTTCGTGGCCCCATAGGGCGCTCCACCGAAGGCCCCAGTGTCAGCGCCCGCATGCGGCTCCACCCCTTGATCTGGTGCACCCCTCACACGCTTCGTGGCCCCATAGGGAGCTCCACCGAAGGCCCCAGTGGCAGTGCCCGCATGCAGTTCCACCTTCAATTTCTGTACACCCCTCACACGTCTCGTGGTCCCACATGGACCTCCACCAAAGCCTCCAGTGCCAGCGCCCGCATGCGGTTCCACCATCCATTTCGGCGAATCCATCGCACGTTTCGTGGCCCCATAGGGAGCTCCAGCGATGGCCCCAGCGGCAGCGCCAAGTTCCACGTGCACCCCTCACACGATTCATGGCCCAATATGGGCTCCACCGAAGCATCCAGTGGCAACGCCCGCATGCGGTTCCACCTTCCATTTCCGCGAACCCCTCCCACGTTTCGTGGCCCCATGGGGAGCTCCACCTAAAGCCACAACGGCAACGCCCGCATGGCGGTCCCGCTACATTTTGGCACACCTTTCACGCGCTCCGCGGCCCTATAAGAAGATCCACCGACGGCAACAGTCACAACGAAGGCACCCACAATTGCATGTGGTTGGGTCCTTCGCCAGGCTAATTTTCCCAACCACCCTGTGGTGTTGGGTCACCCTCTTGAAGAGACAGCGCCCCGCGTTTTCCCTCCTCCTCCTCCTTCCTCCCCCTCCTCGCTCCTCTCTCCTTCCATCCGTTCCTCTGCCTCTCCTCTCCGCGTGCCGTCATCACTATCAGTATCGTGATATTCATCGTGATCACCATCGCCATCATCGGCGTCATCAACATCGCCATGTTCAGCGTTGTGCCTCTGTTCTCCGCGTGTCCATTTCGGCACACCCCTCACACGCTTCGTGGCCCCGTAGGAAGCTCCACCGAAGGCCCCAGTGTCACAGATTACATGCTTCACCGCCGCATATTCGAAACACCCCTCACGCGGTTCGTGGCCCCATAGGGAGCTCCACCGAAAGTCCCAGTGGCACATGTTACATGCGTCACCGCCGCGCCATGTCGGCACACCCCTCACACGCTTCGTGGCCCCATAGGGAGCTCCGAAGGCCCAAGCGGCAACGCCCGTATGCGGTTCCACCCCTAACCCGGTGCACCCCTCACACTTTTCGTGGCCCCATAGGGAGCTCCACCGAAGGCCCCAGTAGCAGCGCCCGCATGCAGTTCCCCCCTTCATGTCGGTGCACTCCTTACACGCACGCTTCGTGGTCCCACAGGGAGCTCCACCGAAGTCCCCAGTGGCGACGCGCCCGCATGCAGTTCCACCCCATAATTTCGGTGCACCCCTCAGACGTTTCGGGAGCTCTACCGAAGGCCACAGTGGCAGCGCCCGCATGCGATTCCATTTCTATTTCGGTGCACCCCTCAAACGTTGCGTGGCCCCATAGGGAGCTCCACCGAAGGCCGCAGTGGCAGCGCCCGCATGCGATTCAATTTCTATTTCGGTGCATCCTCGCATGTTTCGTGGTCCTGGGCTGCTTCGGGCTGCTGGAGGCCTGCGTTGTCCCACTGCAGGGGATCGCGTGCCAACCGCCGCGGACATTTCAGGTACGAGGCTCTCGCGCCCAACGACCCGGTCTCATCGAGACAGGGCACAGAAGATACTCTAACCACCTTGAGCCTGGCAGCCCGGAGACCGTTGCAACTCCTGTCGGCGGCGCACCCGGGGGGAACAGTGAGAGGGAGCAGGGCTTCTCGCCCGCCGAGGAGGCCCGCCCCCTCCGTCGTCCCCATGGACGCGCCGCCGATCCAGGGAGGCCGCCTGGATCTTTTTGTTCGGGGCGCCTCGGTATCTGGGGTTCCGCCGTCCCGAGCGGTGGCTCCTTCGGCGGCCTTGGCGCCGGCCGCGGCCTGCTGGCCGGCGTCCTCAAGCCGGACGTCTTGCTCGGGCGAGCAGCTGTCCACCTGAGCCACCGCAGAGACGTGCCCGAGAGGGAGAAGCCGGGCATACGCAACAGATCCGACATCTACTCGATCGGCGACAAGACGAGGCCCCCGAGAGGTGCACTCCGAGCCCTCAGACGTCACCCCCCTCCCTCACCCCTTCAGGTTCCAAATCAACATTGCGCGGCGAGCGCCCGTCGGCGTCGACTGGATGTGGGGGGCGCGCCTGCGTTGCCGCAGCAGGGTATAACGCAGGGTGCGGCGACCAGAGTCCCCGGCTGCGGGACTTTCGACCTGGGCCCAACTCGGAGGTGGAAAACTGGGGGGCGTCCGTCCTTGACACTGGTGCGTCTGAGTAGCCCTCTGGGGGTGTCACCCAGGGTGCATCCCCGAGTTTGCAGGGGATCTCGGGAATTGGGGGCGTGAGTTCACCTGCGAGGGTGCAATTTACCTGCAGCGCAAGGAACAAGAACAACATTCATGCTGACATGCTTCACCGATTGCGGCATCTAGGAGGTGTCCTCGCCAATTTCCGGGACCTCCACAACACGCTTAGAACGAGAAGCCGACCCTGGCGAAGCGGTCTGGACCTCTGTTGGGGCCGTGTTGAAAAAAACCATACATCGTATCGCTGGGAGTCCTTCCCTTGGCTGTGCCAGCACCCCAGGCACCCGGCGCCTCAACAAAAACATTGAGGCGGCTGGTCTGTTGACATGTCTTGGCCTGTCTGTGGAAGGCGGCCTTCGGGACGAGAAACTGGCCCTGGGGAAGGGGGTGAGATGTCTGGGGCCCCACGCATTGGCAAACATCGGATCGGCCGACCCGGACATTCGATGTCTTCCCTTTTCAGTACCGGGTCCCCGAAGCCCCGAGGCCGGCTGTTCACCCCGAGCCGTTTTTTGGACGGTCCTGGGGCCCGGCGACGGCCCCCAGCGGCCGAGAACGGCGCCAAACCTCCGTCTTGCTGTTTGTCAAGGTCTTGGATGTCTGGGCATGCCTGGGGCCAGCACAGGCGGCCCCCAAGCGCCCGTCAGTGCTTCGAGTGCAGCGTCTATAGGCGGCTGTTTGACGGCCCAGGCCCGCCCGCCGTCCGTGCTCTGCCCAAAAGGAGAATCGAGGACGGCACGGGCGGCGCACAGGTGGCAACCCCTGGAAGTACCCAGAGGTCCGACGCCTTAATGCGAGGGGGAACGTTAGGCGGGGACCAGCTCAGGGGGGGAAGCAGCGAGCTGGAATCGGCGAGACATCGCCGATAGATCGGTGGTATAACCCCCGACAGCGCGATGGCGAACCCGTGTGGTTCTGGGCGGGGTGGGCTATTGGGTCCCTATGCGTCATCAACGGCGGGCGATTGGGGGTCGGTGCGTCCCCTCTGAGCCTATCCCTCCACAGGTTGCCCCTGAAGTCCTGCTCTCTTGAAAACGCGCGCCCCTGGAGGTCTGGACCCTGCCCCCCTGGGCTTCTCCCCCAAACCCATTTTCGTTGGGGTTCGGTGAGGGCCTCCAGAAACATGACAGTTGCAAGGCACCCGGAGGTGGCGGTGGAGGAAGAGGAGGAGGAGGGGAAGGATGAGGGGAAGGAGGAGAAGGATGCGAGGCACAGAACGATGGGGGGTCAGAGGGAGGCGCACGCCAACCGAGGAATTGTTCCTCGCCGCCGGCCTCCACCGCGCAAGTCTCGGAAACCTGCGGTCAACCACGCCGGCCTCCTCAGGCAGGGTCGCCTGGGGCGGTCTCAGCACCCCGCCCATCCTGGGGTGCGGGTCGCGCCCCTGGGGCGCCGCGGGGGGCGGCCGCGCAGGCGTCGGGCTCCTGGACCACCCTCAAGCGGAGCCATGGTGGACACACAATTCGGCACAACTTCCAAGACCTCCCATATTTGTTGTATTTCCCGGGCGTTCCTCTTCCCCCCCCATTCCCCAGGGCTGGCTCGACATCCCGAGTGGTTTCCGTTGACGGCCCCGAGGGCCGAACAAGGCCTCCAGATGGGATGGCGACAGCCCGCCCGCCTCGATCTGATCGAGGCGCTAGCCATCTGGGGAACTGAATAAGCCTTCCGTCAGCAACGCCTCGACTAGGGTCTACATCCAAAGGCCCCAGTAATTTTCTGGTTGAGCATCGAGTGCCACATTCTGTGTATTTGGCTTTTTTTCTCGTAGGCTCCAGAGGCGACAGGCGACCCCCCGCCCGGGCCCTCCATGCAGAGGCCAACAGGGGAGAGTGAAAGGGGGGGGGAATCTACATTCCGCACCCCCTCCCACCCCCCCCCAGACCTTCCCTCCCCTCACCCCTCGGGTGAGGGGAGGGAAGGTCTGGGGGAGGCAGCGGAGAGGAGATCCTGACCTCCCCGAGACAGTGCGGAGGTAGGTGGGGGCCAAGACCTCCTCTCGCGGCGCAGCCACATCACGGCGAATGCTTGCTTGTCAACTTTCGGCCTCTGGGGGCCCCTGCTGGGCCCCAGGGCCGCCAACAAGCAGCCCCGGACGAAGCACCTGTCCTGGGGGGAGAGGTCCAGACCCCGGAGGCGCACGCTGTCAAGAAATCGCCGTGACGGCAGTCTCGGGGGATGGAGGGGACAGACCCTGGAGCAGGAAAAGAGACTGCAGAAACAGCAATGTTCGAGGGTCCGCGCGGATTTCTTGGATCTGTGCTGGACCACCCTCGTTTGCGCGCTGCGCGCGCCAGGGCCGGCGCCGGAGGCGTCGCCCGGGGGGACAACGCAATTCCAAGAAATCCGCGCGGAACCTCGACAGTTGACGATTCTGTGCTTCCTTCGTAGATGGAGGGCCGAAGAGGAATGGGGGCGGGGGAAGGAGAGAGGCGGGGGGCGGGGGAGGAAAGGGGGGGCGTGCGGGAGAGCAGTGGCAGGGATGAGGGAAGGCTCCAGGGGTGGGCTCCTCCTCCTGCTCGTCCTCGTCCTAATCCTCGTCATCCTTCTCCTTTTTCTCCTCCTCCTACTCCTCCTCCTCATCCTCCTCCTCGATCCTTGATCCTGCTCCTCCTCCTCCTCCTCCTCGGAGGAGGCAGAATGAGGAGAGGCGGGGGCGGGGAGAAGCAGACGACGGGGGAGGCCGTGAAGACGAGAGAGAGGGGAGGGGGCGCCGACGGCTCTAAAGCGGAGGGTGTCGAGAAAAGTGGCTTGATGAGGATGCCACGCGCACGCCGGGGCGACGGGATAGGAGAGGGAGGAGAGGAGAGGAGAGGCGACGAGGGGCACATGAAAGGCCACATTCCCAAAGCAGTGCTTACAAGAAGGACTCATGCATGTGTCCATACAGAATTGACTGGATGTGTGGGGGTTTCGCCTGGTGCCCTGTTGGCCGGCCAGCCGTGGGCGCCTCGTGCGCGCCTCGTGTTGGGAAGGTGCGTGGAGGTTTCGCCCGGTGCCCGCCCATGATCGTCTGTGGGCGGTAGGCACGTCGTGTGTGGGAGGGTGTGTCCAGGTTTCGCCCGGTTCGCCCGTGGGCGCCTTGTGGGCGCCTCTTACGTTGGGCGGCCGCAAAGGGCTGCACCTTGCACCACATGCAACTTGCACCACCTTGTCCCACATGTCTTCAACCACAAAGCTTCCGCCACACAGCTTATACCACACATCTTGCGCCACACAGCTTTCCCCACGCAGCTTGTACCGCATAGCTTGGCCTTGATCCCTCCCCCGAAGTAATAAATACAACGTTTGCATGAGTCCGCCGCATCGTTCGGTTCCCATATGGAATCAGATCATCCCAGCCAGACCGGTATCATCAACCCCCGTCATCCCTGTCAATCAATACCATGTGCGCACTCGTTGATCTGAACAGATCGTTCCCAAAAAGTCGATGCAAACAAATACCACCGACCCAACACGCGCGCGCACATGTCGGAGCAATGCAAAACACATGAGTCCGGCATGCAGTTCAACATAATAGCATTGATAACATATTGGTTGCTCATCGAGCATCTTGCTGGTGTAATGTCCCCCGCGCTTGCTAAAACCATGGGGGAGACATGATGTCAACAACGACGCCGATTCTCATATTACCACGCGCTACATCCGCGTTGACCCAGCACGAACCCAATGCATGACTCGGTATAAAACAATACCATGCGGGCCACATGCGCGCGCCGCCACGCGCGCATGCCGAAATCTGTCCGGAACTACAGGTTCCCGAAGCAGTTCAAAATAGAGCTCGTCAAACATGTGAATAACGAAAAGCTTATCATTAAACGGTTTGTCAGATTAAGTGAACTTATGCGCGCGAATTGTCACATCACCCTTCGCCGATATCGTCATTGCCAAACGCCGCTATTACCACCATCATCATCACAATCGCCATCATTGCCGACACTTGGACGTCGTCATCACCAGCATCGGCCCCGTCATTGGCTCTGCCGTCGTCAGCGTCATCATCGCCACCACCATCGCTAACATCCTCATCTTTGCCACTGTTGTCGACGTTCTAATGATGTCGTGCACACCCGGGTCACCGACCCGCACTTGAGTGCCCTCGCGCCAGCGCAGCCTTCTAGGCTCGCTGGGAAAATCCCACCGGTAAGCGCCATCCCGGCCCCATCAATTGCGCCAAATCAGCTGGCCGATGTGCCGAACACGAGCGTGCCAGGGCGGCAATATAGATGCACCAGAAAGGTCCAATTGGCAGCAGCAATCGTGGCCGGACGGGTTTTGCAAAACAAGTTGCGGGTGGAAGGCTGGGGATGTTTGCGCGAGCATTGGATAGGGCAGCTCATCAGGGGCAAATCATTTGAGATTGCACCGCATGGCTTGCGATACATAGCTTGCACCCCATAGCTCGGACCGCATGGCGTACACCATGTAGCCTCAACCACATACCTTGAGGCGCATGGATTACACCACACACCTTACCCCGCTTACACATCCGAAATGTGTTTGGAGTCCACTCCGACACACAGGCATACATATCATTGCAGAGAGCGATTATCGGACCCCCCTCCTTTTCGGCGAAACTGTACCGCGTTTCGCCCCAGAAAGTGATATCCCGCCCCCAAGCCCCTCAGTGCGGGAGCCCCACCAAGGTCCTAATAGGAGCCCACGACCCCCATCGGATGCCCATGAGAGCCCAAGAGGGTTGCAACATGAACCCAGTGAGATCCCAATAGGATTCCAATGAGATTCTGATGATTTAAAGAGGATCTCAATAGGATCGGGTCCTAGTAGGACTCCACCATGAGACTCCCCCATTGGAGCACCTCCCTGTCTCTTGAGGCCCCCCTTGGGCTGTCTATTTCCTCTTACTCCCGCCCCCTCTCCGCCCGCCCCCCTGCGGAATCGTTTAAGCAATGAGTTTGTCGTAGTACTAACGAAACCGATCGGCGGTCCGCCGGGGCGGCCCCCCCCCTCGGGAATCAAATCTTTTCAGTGCTGAGGATAACGGGGGCGAGGGACAACGACAGGGGTGGATAGGCACAGGGGGGGATGCGTCGACCTGGAATCGGCGATACATCGTCGTTAGATCGGCGATAGGCCCCCGATAGTGAATCCGCACCTCTCTGGGCGGGGTGGGGCTATCGGGCCCCTATCGGCGATCAATGGGCGATTGGGAGGCGATGCATCCCTCCCCCCCTATGCTTAGGTCGGGCCTGTCCCCCCACCGGGGGATTTTCAACGAAAAATAAGCAATCTTCAAAAAATCCAAAATGGTCAAAAAAATACGCAGAAGATAATCCCCAGACAATTGTTGGACTACGTTTGAAGATTCCCTCGGTAGAGGGACAGGCCCGATTTAACCCTGTGCCTATCCCCCCCTATCGCTGCCCCCGAAAGGGGGGGGGGGGGGGGCAACGATCACCGCATCCCACGGGGAAGCGACCCGGGGCCAGACACGGCGGGCGCAGGCCCGCGGGGACTGCGGCAGCGACGCCCTCTCCAGAGCTCCGAACACAGAGGCGATTCGCAGACCCACTCGGCAGCACTGTAGGGAGGAGGACGAGGAGGGGGAGGAGGAGGACGAGGAGGGGGAAGAGGAGGAGGAGGAGGAGGAGGATGAGGAGGAGGGACGTACGCGCCCAACTATGCACATGAACGCGGCCCCATTGACCCGCGAGACCGGCCGCGTGATACGAACATTCGCGCGATGCGAACTCTCGAAACCAGCGTGGATTCATGTACGTGGACGTTCTTCTTTCGCTCCTGAGATTGGGTTTCCGTCAACCTCTGCAAGGAAGGAGCAAACGAGAAGAGCGGTGCGAGCACGCAGCTGCTGAGGCCGCCGCCTTCTCCTTCAGCTTCAGAACCTCCTGCTGGAAGGGCGTGTCGTCGGGCCCAGTGTAGCAGTTCAGCTGCTGGCAGGTCCGAGAGTCCTCCCAGAACGCCGGCGTGGTTGGAGGAGATTATGGGAGGATGGGCTCGGGAAGCCAAGCCACCAGCACGTATCAATTACACGCAGCCGCGGGGAACTCATCAACGTGTCGCTCTAGGATGCAACGTGTTCGGAGATCTTCGCAAAAACGAGTAAGGTGTTTGGCCATATAGCTGGACAAGCCCAGATTCAGCCCGGGATTAAACCGGAGTCAACACGACTAGACAAGATTTAGCTGAGCAATGTCGGATTCGGCAGGCTTGCAAAACGGATATACCAGCGCTGATGCTGAGTTGAACCTCCCATGAGTTGCATCCTAAGTTCCTGTTGGAGAAGGGGGACGAAGCATTCGAACCAACCCGTATGAGTGGCACGCTGCCGTCCATCTCAAGTATCCCCCTCTCTGTGAGAGATAACAGAGGCAAGAGAAAGAGAGAGAGAGAGAGACAGAGGGCGAGAAAAATATACATATACACCAAACAGCAGAAACAACGATACACATATACACATCTATAAATGTGTAGAAGGGTATGAGGAGCTAGGGGGAGAAGGAGAGAGAGAGAGAGGGAGGGGGAATGGAGGGAGGGGGGAACGGAGGGAGAGATGGAGAGAGAGAGAGAGAGAAAGAGAGAGAGAGAGAACAAAAAAGCAGATCGCACACCATGCATATACAATGTACAGCGATGTACGTGTGTGCATACATGTATACTAGAACCATCGCGCGCGCTCAAGTTCTAGCTTAGGCTTGATAGGCTAACTCATGTCATCTCATGTTGGTCACTTCTTGCGTCCAGGGGCTCCTGTGGAGGCCCTGCGCCAGCCTCGGAATCGTATAGAAGGGGAAATGCGGAAACGCAGAAATCATTCACTTCCTGCAAGGTATTCAACGATTTGGGGCCCTCAAAGGCTTCCTGGGTTCTTTTTTGGGAGGTGAGGGGGGTCTGAATTGTGGTCTGTTGTGCAAGAGTAGACCGGGGGCCAAACTTGAATTATCCCAGTGCGACCCTACCTGGGAGTTGGAGCATCTAGGAAAGCAACATCTACATCTACACCGACAGCTACATTATCTACACCAGCATCTACGCTATGCTATGTCATGCTAGGCTATGCTATGATATGCTATGCTGCGCTATGCTATGCTATGATATGCTATGTTATGCTGCGCTATGCTATGCTATGCTATGCTGTGCAATGCTATACTATGCTGTGCTATGCTGTGCTATGCTGTGCTATGCTGCGATGTGCTATGCTACGCAATCCTATGCTATGCTATGCTATGCAATGCTGCGCTATGCTATGCTATGTTATGCTGAGGTATGCTAAGCTATGCTATGCTATGATATGCTTGGTTATGCTATGCTATGCGATGCTGTGCTAATGCGGCGCTGCGCTATGCTGCGCTGCGCTAAGCTAAGGTCAGCTAAGCTATGCTAAGCTAAACTAAGCAAAGCGAAGCTAAGCTAGGCTAGGCTAAGCTAAGCTAAGCCAAGCCAAGCCAAGCCAAGCTAAGCCAACCTACGCTAAGCTAAGCCAAGACAAGCTAAGCTAAGCCTAGCTAAGCTAAGCTAAGCTAAGCTAAGCTAAGCTAAGCTAAGCTAGGCTAGGCAAAGCTAAGCTAAGATGAGAAACGCTAAGCTAAGCTAAGCTTAGCTAAGCTAAACTGGGTGAACCCAGGGGGCGCAACTGGGGGAACCGCGGGGCGGATCCTGGGGGAACCGCCCGGGGCGTGCCCCACTGCCCGGCCCTTTAAGCCTAATAGTAAGAAGCCTTCTAGGCAGAGCCTAGGTAGGGAACAAGCAGGAATTGTGGGATTTCCATGTTTTGCATTTTTTGTTGTGCTGTTCGGTTATGTGTTTTATTTGTGCCTCGCGGGTTTTGTTAGCTGGGCCCATCAGGGGTGTGGGATCTTCCGGACTCCCTGGGGGTTCTGGAGGCCTCCTGGAAGCCTGGAGAGCCGTCGGAAGGGTGTCGGGGGCTGCGTGGGAGCGTGTTGGGCCGTTTTTTACGTTCTGGGGGCTCCTTGGGGTCGTCATGGGCTGTCCTTCGGCGACTTGGGGTCTCCCCCCGGGAAGCCGGAAGGCGCGGTACCGGCCAGATGCCAGGGGATGTGTAAGACCCCCGAGTACAGTCGGACTTGATTGGGAAGGACACGCGAGAGGACACAAGACCCTTCCGAGGGCCACGTTGCCACAGAAATGCAGGAGGCATGGGTCGCAAGACGCAGGAAACGATGGTACCCTTGATCTGGCAGGGTCGACCTACTAATCTGGGCCGCCTGTAGGAGTCCCACTTTAAAACAAAGGCGGGATTCTGGGAACTTCCTTGTTATTTAATCCTCGATCTTCGAGGGTCGGAAGCGGGAAAACGTAAGAAGGCGAAAAACATTAGAAAAACCATGGGACATCAACGATTTTACCCTCTTTGGGCTCTCTCGGGACGGCTCTCGCAGCTCTCTTGGGCTGTTCTTGGAGCCTCGCCGGGGTCTTTAAAGGGCCTCTCTAGGATCGGGGGGGTGTTGGGGGCCTCTGGGTGGTCCCGGAGGCCTTTCGGAGGTCTCTGGAAGCCTCCTGCTCCCGCTCTTGGCCCCATCTTGGGCCTGTTCTGGGGTGGTCTGGGGCTGTCCTGGGCGCCTCTTCGGCAGTCTTGGGGCCCTCTTGGCCAGCCTTGGGGCCGTCCCTGAGGATCTCTTGGGTGGTCTTGGGGCGGTCTTGGGAGCCTCGTCGGCGCTCTCGGACCGTCGGAAGCTCGAAAACGCGAGAAGCCAAAAACATTGAACAAAAAGACACATGAAAATCTACGATGTTGGCCTCTTCGGGCCGTCCCGGGACGCCTCTCGGACCTCTCTTGGGGTCTCTTGGAAATTACCTGGGAGTCTCGAGAGCCGTCGGAAGGCTGACTTGAGCTGCTTGGGAGCGTTTTGGACCATCCTTTGGCATTCTGGGGGCTCCTGGGAGGCGTCTCGTGCCCTCCTGGAGCGCTGTGGAGGCCCCCCGGAACGCCCGGGGGAGCTGTACAAGGAGCGTTTCCGAGATGTCACGGGGAGGTGTGGCACCCGGGGCCGGGGGGGAGCTCTATTGTGGTGCCTCTTGGGGCGTCTTCGGGGCCTCTTTCAGTGTTTTTTCGGATCTCATGGGGGCCTCTTGGGCGTTTCTTGGAGCCTCTTGGGGTCTCCTGGGGGTCTCTTGGGCCAAAAGGCGTCAATTTCCAATTCCTCGTCCCCGTCTTGGGCGCCGCCTTAGGACGTTCATGGGCGGTTTGGGCGCCTCGTGGGCCGTCTTGGTCCCCTCGTGGGCCGTCTTGGGGCCCTCTAAGGGGCATCCTCGACCGGCTTGGGTGCCTCTTGGGCCGTCTTGGACGCAGTGGAAGCCCAAAAGGCGAACACGCCAAGAACATGAGCTTTCCCATAATTAGGGGGTCGACGATTGTTGCTTATTGGGGCTCTATTGGAGTGCCCCGTGGGGCGTCTTCGGGGACTCTTTTCATGTTTTTGCGGGTCTCTTGGGGGCCTCTTGGGGCTTCTTGGGCGCTTCTTGGAGCCTCTTGGGGTCTCCTAGGGGTCTCTTGGGGCCTCTGGGGGGCCTTTTTGGGGCCTCCTGGGGACCTCTTGGGGCCTCCTGGGAGCCTCTGGGGCCGAAAGCTCGGAATTTGAATATGGTCGTGCACCTCTGAGACCCCTCAGGGGTTCGTCCTGGGGCTCTCTTGGGCTGTATTGGGGGCCTCTCGGGCCGTCTTGGGACCGTCTCGACCGTCTTGGGACCTTTTTGGGGTCGTCTTGGAGCCCTTTTTGGGAGCCTGTGGGGCAGTCTCGGGGGCCTCCTGGGCCGTCTCCGACGCAGTGGACGCCCCAAAGGCAACCACGCCAAAAATATCAGTTCCCCCGGAGGGAATTTCGTATTTTTGTTTATTGGGCCACTCTTGGGGCGTCTCCGAAACCTCTTTTGGTGTTTTGGCCGGGTCTCACGGGGGCCTCTTGGGGCTTCTGGGCCTTCTTGGGGTCCCCTGGGGGTCTCTCGGGCCAAAAGGCAAAAATGTATGGTTCCTCGTCCTTGGAGTGTTCTTGGGCGGTTTGGGCGCCTCGTGGGCCATGTTGGCCCCCTCGTGGGCCGTCTTGGGGCCCTCTCGGGGGCATCCTCGACCGGTTTGGGTGCCTCTTGGGCCGTCTTGGACGCAGTGGACGCCCCAAAGGCAAACGCGCCAAAAATATCAGTTTGCCGATAGGAAACCGACGATGTTGTCTTATTGGGCCTTTTTTCGGGGTGCCTCTTGAGGCGTCGTCGGGGCCTTCGGGGGCCGTCTTGGCGTCATGGGAGTCGTCGGAGTCGTCCTGAAAGGCGTCTGGAACCATCGCTGCTTCCTCCTGGGGCCTCCCTGCAGCCTCTTGGGGCCCTGTCGGCCCCGGATCACCCTGGCCCCACATTCGTCGTGGTGGCCCCATATATATATATATACACATACATACATACATACATACATACATACATATATATATATATATATATATATATATATACATACATACATACATACATACATACATACATACATACATACATACATACATACATACATACATACATACATATAACATACACATTCACGTATGTGTATATACTGCGCCGATCCGAAAGTTTCCCCAATTTCGCCACCGCGCTCGCCGCGGCCATCTGGGGTGGCGCGCGCACGATAAGACTCGCGGGGCCCGAGGGCGGACGGGGGCGATGTCGCGAGGGCAGAGCCGGCGCGCCGATGGGCAGCCCAGCACCTCGTTTGGTCGGAGGGGCCCAGCACAATGCAAGGGCAGACCCTGACCCCCGCCTGGGGTCGCGGGATCGGGCTCCCCCATCCCACTTAGATTTTTAATCATAAACGGCGCACTGACCCGAAAATGAGCAAACGGCATCGGACGTCCTCGAAAAAAAGCTTTCGGGCTCGGTCAGGAAAAATACCAGCCGAATTGGAAGTGGCCAAATGACATAGGACTTGTGCTGGAAAACAATTTCGGGTCCGGTTCGAACGACCCGAAAACGTGCAAACCGCCTAGGATTTCTCGCGAAAACACCATTCTCGAGGTCATCGGGCCCACCCCGAAGAAACCGAGCATGGGCAAACCGCCTAGAACTTCCTATCAAAACCAATCTTTCGGCGGTTCCGGGCCTTGTCCGAAGGAGCCGCCGATGGGCAGACCGTTCAGGACTTCCTGCGCAAGAAACGGTTCCCCGGGTGAGCCATAGTCAACGGGAGCGCGCCCCGCGCAGGATCGGGGTTCGCACGGGGGCGCGGCTGCTCTCACTTGTCCAGGGGGTATGCATTGCCGCGCCCTTCCAGCATAGCGTTTGCGCTGCATTCGCGCGGCGCCGTGCTTCCCAAATCGGAATAAACTTTTGGAGCGCCGATGTATATATATATATTATATATATATATATATATATATATATAATATATATATGTGTGGGGCCTCCTTGGGGCCTCCTGGCGGCCTCTTGGGGCGGAAGGCTCGAGCTTGCGGTTCGTGGTCCCCCTCTGGGCCCCCTCTTGGGCCCGTCTTGGGGCCCTCTTGGGCCATCTTGGGCGCCTCTTGGGCCGTCTTGGGGCCCTCTTGGGCTGTCCTGGGCCCTCTTGGAAGCTTCTTGGGCCGTCTTGGGGCGGTCTTGGAGGCCTCTTGGGCCGTCTTGGACGCGGTGAAAGCCCAAGATGCGAACATGCGAAAAATATACGTTTTCCCATAGGAATGGCACGATTTTTGTTTCTTGGACCTCTCTTGGGGTGCCTCTCGGAACGTCTTGGGCTGATTTTGGAAGCCTTTTGGCGCCTCTGGGCGGCGTTTTGGCGCCTCCTGGGATATGTTGGGCCGGAAGCTCGGAATTCGAGAGTGGCTTTCTCCTTCTGGGACCCCTCTCGAAATCGTCTTGGGGTTCTCTTGGGCCGTCTTGGGGCCGTCCTGAGCCGCTCGTGCGCAGCCTTGGAGCGCTCCCGGAGGCCTCCTAGGCCGTCTTGGAGGCCTCTTGGGCCGTCTTGGACGCGGTGAAAGCCCAAGATGCGAACATGCGAAAAATATACGTTTCCCCATAGGAATGGCACAATTTTGTTTCTTGGACCTCTCTTGGGGTGCCTCTCGGAACGTCTTGGGGTGCTTTTGGGAGCCTTTTGGCGCCTCTTGGCGGCATTTTGGCGCCTCCTGGAGCCTCTTGGGCCGGAAGCTCGGAATTCGAGGTTGGCTTTCTCCGTCTGGGACCCCTCTCGAAGTCGTCTTGGGGCTCTCTTCGGCCGTCTTGGGGCCGTCCTGGGCCACTCGTGCGCAGCCTTGGAGCGCTCCTGGAGGCCTCGTAGACCGTCTCGGGCGCCTCTTGGGCCGTCTTGGACGCGGTGAAAACCCAAGAGGCGAACATGCGAAAATTTTAAGTTTTCCCATAGGAATGGCACGATTTTTGCTTCTTGGGCCTCTCTTGGGCTGCCTCTCGGAGCGTCTTGGAGGCTTCTGGGACCTTCTTGGTGTCATGACAGGCGTCTTGGAAGGCATCTGGAGCCATCGGAGCGCGTTCCGAAGCCGCCTGCGAACGATCTTGGACGGCGTCCGGCGGTCCGACGAGCCTCCGGGCCCCCCGGGGCCCACATTTGTGGTCGGGGTCCCGGCCCCGGGCCCCCGGACCCGGTGCGCCGTTATATGTATACTAGAACCACGCGCGCGCTTCGCGCGCGCTTAGGTTCTAGCTAGGAGGCGAGCTTGAGTCAACGAAAGTCGCAGGGAAGGGGGCAGGGGGAAGAAGGCCAGAGAGCGCTGAAGGATACAAATACTGGAACCCTCTTGTGATTTTGTGGGGGGCCTCGTCCGGCCGCTCGCTGGGAGTTTGACGTAGCTTCTCGGGAGCCTCTGAACCTGTCGGGGGCCTCCTGGAAGCAGGTTCGAAGCATTTTGGGGGCCGATTTGGGGCTTCTCGGGGCCTCCTTTGGGCCTCTTGGGGGTCTCCTGGGGCCTCTTGAGGGGCCTCCTTGGGGCCTCCTGGCGGCCTCTTGGGGCGGAAGGCTCGAGCTTGCGGTTCGTGGTCCCCCTCTGGGCCCCCTCTTGGGCCCGTCTTGGGGCCCTCTTGGGCCATCTTGGGCGCCTCTTGGGCCGTCTTGGGGCCCTCTTGGGCTGTCCTGGGGCCCTCTTGGAAGCTTCTTGGGCCGTCTTGGGGCGGTCTTGGAGGCCTCTTGGGCCGTCTTGGACGCGGTGAAAGCCCAAGATGCGAACATGCGAAAAATATACGTTTTCCCATAGGAATGGCACGATTTTTGTTTCTTGGACCTCTCTTGGGGTGCCTCTCGGAACGTCTTGGGCTGATTTTGGAAGCCTTTTGGCGCCTCTGGGCGGCGTTTTGGCGCCTCCTGGGATATGTTGGGCCGGAAGCTCGGAATTCGAGAGTGGCTTTCTCCTTCTGGGACCCCTCTCGAAGTCGTCTTGGGGTTCTCTTGGGCCGTCTTGGGGCCGTCCTGAGCCACTCGTGCGCAGCCTTGGAGCGCTCCCGGAGGCCTCCTAGGCCGTATTGGAGGCCTCTTGGGCCGTCTTGGACGCGGTGAAAGCCCAAGATGTGAACATGCGAAAATATACGTTTTCCCATAGGAATGGCACGCTTTCTGTTTCTTGGGCCTCTCTTGGGGTGCCTCTCGGAACGTCTTGGGGTGTTTTTGGGAGCCTTTTGGCGCCTCTTGGCGGCATTTTGGCGCCTCCTGGAGCCTCTTGAGCCGGAAGCTCGGAATTCGAGGTTGGCTTTCTCCGTCTGGGACCCCTCTCGAACTCGTCTTGGGGCTCTCTTCGGCCGTCTTGGGGCCGTCCTGGGCCACTCGTGCGCAGCCTTGGAGCGCTCCCGGAGGCCTCGTAGACCGTCTTGGGCGCCTCTTGGGCCGTCTTGGACGCGGTGAAAGCCCAAGAGGCGAACATGCGAAAAAATATACTTTTTGGGCCTCTCTGGGCTGCCTCTCTTGGGCTGCCCAGAGAGGCCCGATTTTTGCTTCTTGGGCCTCTCTTGGGCTGCCTCTCGGAGCGTCTTGGAGGCTTCTGGGACCTTCTTGGTGTCATGACAGGCGTCTTGGAAGGCATCTGGAGCCATCGGAGCGCGTTCCGAAGCCGCCTGCGAACGATCTTGGACGGCGTCCGGCGGTCCGACGAGCCTCCGGGCCCCCCGGGGCCCACATTTGTGGTCGAGGTCCCGGCCCCGGGCCCCCAGACCCGGTGCGCCGTTATATGTATATGCATTCCGAGGGAGAGAAAGAGAGAGGGAGAGAGAGAGAAAGAGAAAGCGGAGAGAGAGAGAGAGAGAGAGAAGTCATAAACACATGCAGATGCGCATCGATGTTGGTGGGACGATGGGAGATGAGGAGACGAGGAGGATGAGAAGAAGGGAGTAATGACGGAGAAAGATGACGACGCGGGAGAAGAAATGATGGAAGATGAGCAGCATGACGATGAGAAGGCTGGAGATGGGAAAAGCAGTAAGGGAAGGCGGCAAGGCGAGAGAGGGAGGAAAAGGGACATAGGATGAGGAGGAGGAGGAGGAGGAGGAGGAGGAAGAAGCGGAAACGAGAGGAGGAGAAGCTCTTTCCTTCGGAGGAGGACGCGGAGCAGGAGAGAAGGTGGGATAGCAAGTGGGGGAACGGAGGTAAAGGAAGAAACAGGAATGAGAGGGACCAAATGACTCGATGATTGATTTCCTCAGTACGGGATCTCCGGAAATCCCCACCGTTTGTTCCCCAGTGTTTGTTCTTCTTCACGATACGGTTTTTGGCGGTCCCGGGGCCCGGCGAGGGAACCCCTGAGGCCGAACACTGAACAAAAACTCCGTCTGCAGTTTCCCAAGATCGGAGGCGAGCGAGGGTGGGAAGAGAGGAGAAGGAGGCCTTCTCAGAAGGCGGCGGGTCTTATCAGAAGCGCTCCTGCCTCCTGAGAAATTTTAACTTATCTGTCTTCGGGGAAGGTTTAGAAGCTTTTCAGAAGGCCAGGGGACTTCCGACCCTTCTGACAAGTCCCGCCCCCTCTCACTTCCCACCCCTTGGGCTGGCCGCCGTCAACTCGTTGGATGCATGGGGAGTGGAGGTTCGCCCCCCCCCCGCCGGGGCGCAGGCGCCTTCTCCACGGTGAAGCAGTTGAGCGCCTGCTGCCCCAGCCGCTTCCCCTGCTCGGCAACGAACTGCTCGTCCGACAGGCGCGGCGACAGCTTGCCCTCCCAGCAGCAAGGGGAAGGCGGCACGACCATCCTCGTCGCGAGGCGCCAGGGAGGGTCATCGTGGCGGCGCGGCCCCCCTCTTCTCGCTCGGAGACGCCCCATCTGTAAGTCGAGATCCTCTCTAGCCCTGGCAATTGAGATTGAACATCTATTCAGCCCTGGCAGTTCTGATTCGAGGTCATCTGTGAGTAGCTCGAAATCCTCGCTGACCCTGTCAAGTAATATCGAAGCAGTTTCTCTAGCTCGAGATTTCGGACCGACCCGTCGCCATTAGAGTTGTAACTGTCTACTGCACGTGCTGCATCTAGTACTTCCTAAACCAAGTAGCGCTGTGCTGTAACAAAACAATTTCTGGTATTCCCTATCTCCAGCCCGGCGACCCTCTCGCTGGAGGTGGCTGCGCGCCTCGGGAGGCATGGTGCCTGGGCCAGTGCTGATGTGTGTGTGTGTGTGTGTGTGTGTGTGTGTGTGTGTGTGTGTGTGTGTGTGTGTGTGTGTGTGTGTGTGTGTGTGTGTGTGTGTGTGTGTGTGTGTGTGTGTGTGTGTGTGTGTGTGTGTGTGTGTGTGTGTGTGTGTGTGTGTGGGGGGGGGGGTGGGGGGGGCTGCGCTGCAGCGAGCGGCGAGGAAAGGCCAACTCGCGCCTCGCGCCTCGCGGTCGCGGTCGGGCTGCGCTGCGCGAGCGGCGAGCGGCGGAGATGCGCGGAACTCCCAGTGGGGAGCGACCCGCGTGACGGCCATGCCGAGGTCACCCAACTTCGAGCACCGCGCCCCACGATGCGTGCCGCGTGATGATGTTCGCGCCTTCTCGCCATCGCGCCGCCCCCATTGAGGAAGGGAGGCCGCTCTGCCTGCGTGCTCCGCCCATCCTACTCGATCCTCGATCCTCCTCGATCCTCGACCATCGACCCTTCTCGATCCTCCTCGATACTCGATCCCCGATGCTCGATCGGGGATCCGCATGCGAGGACGCCCACTACGGCCGCAAGTGGACCCCCCGGGGCTGGAGGCACGGAGCGCGTCCCAAGGGCGCCGAGATTGGCGGGGCGCGGCGTGCGAGCTCGCCCACGGGGGCCTGCGGGTGGACCTCCCCGAGAAGCCTGATCCGCGCGAGGGGATTTCCTGGCGGCCGTCGGCCGCTCCAGGTCAGATGCCAGGGCGCGATTCCGCGGAGGCGCGACCCCCTGGATGCGCCGCGCAGAGCCGCCCCGAACCCACGCGGCCGCGACCGGGGGAGCTCTGGGCCGCGAGCCCGTGGGCACGGGCACATCTCCCGCCCCCGGGTCGGGGAGGAAGGACCTGGGGCACTCGGCACCGCAGCTCCATGCAACAGGCGCGAGCAACGACTGTTTGTCCAGGTGTCCGCCGGGCGGCGGCACCGCCGCTGCCGCACTCTCCCTCCGCGCAGCATGGGAGCTCTCGCAACGCCCTGCTGCCCGCGTCCCTGCAGCACCCAGGGCCCCACCATCGTCTCCCTCAGCTGCTCGCACTCCTTCTGCATCATCAGGAACCTCCTGATCTTCGCCGACGCCTGCAGCCGCGAGCGCGCGCGCGAGGCGACGCGAGCGTGCGGGGGGGGAGGGGGAGAGCGATTGCCAGGGCGACGGCAGAAAATCAACATCATCAAAACGATGCGCGTCTACATCACGTTCGCTTCGCGGTTCGAGATGCTTCTCGTCACCAGGGGGGGGAGAGGGGGGCGGACGCGGAAGGAGCTCGCAAGGCTGACTGGCTGACTGGGACGCGGTGTTCGAACTGCTCGGGGGTCCCAAGTCGCCCGTAGTGTCTTGCAACAGATGACCCCAAATTGACCCTGGTACTCGGGTCCAGTTGGAGTCATCTGTTGATCGCGCTGAAACGTGGTCAGACTGTGGTTCAAATGTATCATGGGCGCCCCCCCGTGTGGCCCTCAACGGCTTCGCGTGGAGATCTACACGGGCTGGAACACTAGTTTTCAAAAGAGGCCCCCAAGACTTCCAACAAGCACCCCAGAATCCCCAAGAGGCTCCTCAGAGACCTCAAAACTGTTCCGCAGAGGCTCCCGCCAAAAAGACCCCAAGACGCATTCATGAGGATTTTGACCCACAACCCATGTACGTCTCGAAACTCTGCTGAAGCTCTCTTGAGCCATCTCGGCGCCTTGTGGGACAGTCTATCTGCTCTCTGCGACAATGTGCGCGAACCACATCTCCAAAGATCTGCTCGAAGACCGTCCTGCCTGCCCTACCGTTCCCCCTGGGCACGAGCACACCACCACGCAGCCACAGCACAGTGATGCGACATGGGCCGGCGGAGTGATCGAAGCGATTCAATAATCCACCATGTTGGTCGGCTCTTCGGCCAGCCCGCGAAGCTCGCCGGGGACCCCCAAATCCCTCCCCAAGGGCCTGCTGCTGCTCCGGCTTGGACAAGAACTGAGTGTCGTTGCACTGCACGTTCTCTTTGCCTTGGAC